GTTGACCCTGCTTCGGCAGGGGGGTTGGACTAGATGACCCACAGAGGTCCCTTCCAACCCCTACCATTCTTGATTCTGTGATTCTGTATTTCAGAACATCTTTTTGAACAATACTCGATAAATGTATGGTACCATGTTTTTTCTTTGTAGTATGACTGTAGCAATGTACAGTGACTCTTCAGCTTTTATCTGTCTTTGAAGTTTTTAACAAATATGAGCTCCTGACCTAAGAAAATGTAGTTAGCATCAACATTTCCCTTTTTATCTGTTCTTCCCTTTTCACCTGCTTCTTTGCTTGCTATCCAAGAAACATTCTCCTTACCTCTTAGTGATTTAGCATTTAATGTCCATTGTATTTACTTTTAAAGATGGCTGGACTTGGCCTTAAGATATGAGAAGTCAGACAAACATTCATGGCTGCTTGGTAATGTAGCTAAAAGGAAGCTGGACACGAGATGATGAAAAATATTTTTCTAAAAGCTTTTAACACTGCTGGAGTTCTTGTATGAGCTAACTATTGAGAGCGAATACTTTTTTTCCCTGACGTAATGATCTGAGTTTGGAGGTTTTGTTGTTTAATGTGCTCTATGACAGACAAGGATCAGTAAGATTAATGTCACTGTAATTTAACTGGTATTCAAGGCACAGGTACATACATGTTTAATAAAAAAAACTCAGTTTTCTAAAAAAATTGTGTTTGGAACCAACCCTGAAGGGCCTGGAGAGTGACTTTGGGGCTCCAAGTGTCTGGTACTACAAAGATGGTCTCCTTTCCTCGGTCCTTTTCTTAGCTATGAGAAAAGAGAAATGGCAACAGTGGGAAGAAATAGAGGACTGAGGAGCAGATGTTACCACAGACCCCAAATGAAGGCAATGATGGAAAGTACTAGCTTGCATTGAACGAATTATTGCCTGGTAATTTTAGATTAGCTAAATAAATAGCTATAGCCCAGTTAAATTGTGCCCTGTCTTATCTTTCCAAGACTTACTGAGAGCTCAGTTGTCCACTTTTGTATTTTTGTAATATTAATAATTACTTATATGTGTATGTGTACAAATGGATATGTGGCTGCATATTGTCACAAAAATGTAGTAATGTACTTTTGGAAGAGTAGTATTTTAGGAAGAATACCAGTCCAATCGGAGACAGGTAAAGGAAAGAAAAGTCTCTAGTTTGAGTTTTTTGTTAGACATAAAGCCTGTCTGTTCGTGTTTGACTTTATGGAGTTGTATATTTGATGACATACAGTGCAGTGTATAATGCTGTACATAGCAGTTGTCTCCACTGGGGTGTGAAAGATGCATACGTAGTTTAGATTACTATGTATACGTTGATGTGTGTGTAATGTGGAGTGGAGAACAGGCACAAACACCTTGGAAGTACAAATGGAGAGAAACAAAATCCGTTTTTGTAAAACAGTGAAATTCTGATTAAAACTGCAAACATTGGGTAGAGTCAAGCTGAAATTTTTGTTTAATAATGTTTAGAGTGGGTTGCAGTAGGCAGGGGTTTTGCTACAGTTGAACTTGGAGCTATGACTTCTGTGGTGGAAGGGTCTTGCTTCTATGCAGCAGTTTCAGTTGCAAGAGTAAGATTTTGTGTGTGCAATTGAGATCTTGAGGTAGGAGGATGTTTATATCTTGTGCAAAATGAGGGCCTATGGTCCTTCACTTGTTTTTCATAGTGAGTTGTCAGGGAAGGTGAATGAAATCTGTATTCACAGTGTAGTAAAAGAAAAAAGATGTATGTCGACTTAGTTTGAAAATGTGAATGGGGACTATGTTGTACAGCTGAATATGCATTTTCTCCTTTTCTGAACCATTTTTTTTATAGAGAACAATCAATGGTGTTGCAACATTTACTTCAATATGTGATATAACTGGCTTTTGTTTTTGTTTAAAGACAGTAATAAAGCTTAATTAATACACACAGTAAGTCTATGAAGTGCAGTAAATATGTGAATAACAAAGTGTTCAGAAAAACAAAATGAAATTATAGTCTTTCAGTAATCTTTGATTTTTTTTTTAGCTGTAAAAGGCATTAAAAATAACATGAGGTTAGTTCCAGTTCTTTATATTGTTACTGACTTGTAGCAGATAGCATATGGACTCTAAAAAATACTTTGTTGTAATAACAGAGTGATTCCAAGATATGTACAGTTCTTTAGTTTAAAGAAAGTGTATTTCTTAAGCAATTTTTAAACTTAATTGTAATGATTTTCCCGAAGACAAGTGGCCCTTCTATTCCACAGTATTGGCTATAGAAAAAGAGAGATGTGTAGTGCTCATATTTTTCTGTTGAACTCTTGTGTCTTATGAAGGACAGTAAAATTCAAAGGAACTAAACCTGAATAAATTAGACTTATTTTATGTGGTTTTGTTTTATTTGGAAAATGAAAGTATATATGCCTTTTCTAACTGGAGTGGTGTGACCATATAAAATATTGTCAATATGCATGATTTTAAATAGTGAATGTAACATTCAACATAACCCATCTGGATGTGGTCCTGTGCAGCCTGCTCTAGGTGAACCTGCTTCAGCAGTGATCCCCAGAGGTCCCTTCCAGCTCCTAACATTCTGTGATTCTGTGGTTCTTGAACTACATCTTATAATGTTTAAACTACAAATAAGCTAAAATGTTTTCTCAAAAAAAACCCCTCTGTATTTTTTCTTTAGAAATTGGTATATTTTTCTTTTAAAATTTTTCAGTCTTTAATCTTTTTTGCTTCAGTATTTTTAGATATTTATCATACATGAATCATGGCTTGTGTAGTAATTAATGTCTTTAAGCATTTCATCCTTTTCTTTGTGTGAATTTTAGGTATGCTATTCCTCCAGAGCACGGGAAACGGCTTGAAAGGCTAGCTCAAGGTAATACTTTCAATATTTCCATATGTAAGATATTTGAAGGACAAACCTCCAGCAAAGTGAAAAATACTATCCTTGACTCACCTACTGTGTTTTATTACTTAATGTTGTGTGACTTTTATCTGTCTACGATATGATTGCAAACAAGGAACGCTTGCTAGTACTCTGATGAATTCTTAAGAAACAATTTATTTTTTCTCTTAGAACTTTATTTTGTACTGGCATTTTTAGCTTGTTGAAGCTTATGAAAACAAGGCTTAGTATTTTCACTAGGTTTTCATTGCTAGCATCTTTGTCTCCTCTGTGCCCTTACTTTTTCTTGTCATAGCTTCTTTTCATCAGTAACTTTTGAATCTTAACTTCTTGGCCAAATTTCATGTAAAGATAGAAATATTGAAGACAGCCAAGTCTCTAGAAGTTTCATGAAAGTTAATGGCTGGGTAGAGGATGGAAATCTGGTTAGTACCTCTGGGAAGGGGGAAGCAGACAAAATGTACCAACACTAATTCTTATTTGGTAGCAGCCTGCTGGCCAGTGAGCGGGCATATAAATCCACTTTAGCCAAAGCATGTACTGGTTTTCACCCTCCAGAGGTGTGAGGACTGTATATTGAGAAGGAGCAGCGCATATTGTAAGGTTGAGCTCTAAGGGATAAAAATCACTAGTGTATAGGAAAAGTATTCTCACACAGTAATTTATTTTATTTTCAGTAACAATACACCTCTGTTTCTAGATTAAGAGTGCAACTTAATGAATATGGGAATAATTAGGCATGTTTCTTGGCCTGGCAGCCCATGTCTTATAGCCTGCTGTTTACCACACTATATAAGAAATGCTGCTGAAACTTGATAATTAGATACTGTGTATCAGAACCAAATTCTGAAAATTTTTGGCACATTTTTGTCATCTTTTCATAGCCATTTTATGTCCATAGAGGTGCATGGCTATTTTTCTGAGCAGTTTTTAAACTATCGGTAAGAGTAGTAAGATGGCATGTATCACTGAGATGTGAAAGTAAAGACCTGTGAACTTGCAGTCTTAAAAACATGTCTCAGACAGATTACAGCGTGGATAATTATATTTACTATTCCTAAATTTTCCCATAGTTTCAGTTGAGAACGTTGTCACTAGTTTTTTTGCTTTCCGGATTCTTTTTCCAGCTTCCAAAGTATAGAACTATTCATGTGCATACCTTGAAGCTTTTGATTTTCACTATTCAAATTGATAGATGTTGTAGACTAGACAAGTGACACTGACTTATTATAGGATGATTTAATAATCATTTTTAAGATTTACAGGAAATGAGCAAGGACTAAAAGAAATAGAAAATTGGGAAAGTTTCAAAGAGGGACGCTAGGACTGATGAAAAATTTGCTTGCCTTTTTGTTTTAATAATTGCTAGTATGCTCTAACTTGTCAGTCTGAAAGAGTGAAAAAAAGAGTGTCAAATAAAGGGAAAGGGGTGTGATAAAGACCTTTGATTGGCGGGGAAAAGGTGTCTAAAGAGTGATTGTTCACTGGGTCTTACAGTACAGCTAGAGACTCTGAATGAAGACTCTTAGCAGGTTCAAAACAAACAGAAGATGATGATTCCTTTCGCAGTATGATCTCACTGTCTATGGTGGATTCTAGAATTTTTCATGGATTCATGGGAGGCTGGACAACACCAGCAAAGAAAACTGTTAGAGGAGCATAGGAATTGCATCTTGCTTTGGTAGTCTTGGAGCAGTGACTCGGTACT